GGCCGTCTCCGCCCGGGAGGGGATCGTCTCGACGCGGGCCGCGGCGTCGTCCGTCGTGGGGGTCCGAAGCCCCGGCCGATCCCCCGCGAGCGTCTCCGGGCGGAGGTTCCATCGAGGGACCCCCGCCATCCGGAGGTCCTCACGAGCCCCGCGAGGCTGAGGGGCCGTCGAACCCCCAAATGGAGGTTCCTCCCGGAGAAGCCGGGAAGGAGGAGGTGGAAGAGGGGGGCGACGGTAGCGAGATTCCTCGACGGCCGCCTCGAGCGCGCGGAGGTCGGCACTTTTTTGATCCCACAGCGCCCGTTTCGCCTCGACCTCGTGGCGTAACGCCTCGAGGCGGGATTTTTCCTCTTCGTAGACGCGGATGAGCTCGCCGGGGTGGTGCACGCGCGCGGCCTTCATGAGGCGGGCGAAGATCCGTCGAAACGCATTCAACCGCTCGTCGTTCTCCGTGAAGTCGGCGGTGTGGCGGTCGACGGGGGTGGGGGCGTTCGTGATCGCCGCGAGAGGCTTCTCGTTCTCCAGTTGGTAGGACGTCGCCTCGGCCGTGCGAAGGAGCTCCGTTTCCTCCTCCAGGAGCTGCTCCAACTCCATCGCGTGCGTTTCCGTCCGTTCGGTTTGCAGGATGCTCTCTTTCAAGATCGCACTTTTGCTGCGCAGCGCGGACTCGATCGCCTCGTGCAACTTATCCATGTGCGCGAGAAAGTCTTCCACCGCCTCGGCCTGCTCCGCATACTCCGCCTGCATCTTGAAGTACATATGGGCCAGCTGGACGTGATCGCGATGGCGGTTTTGATATTCCTGCTCCATGTGTTTCATCCACACCTCGTAGTTTTCGGACTCCTCGCGGAGTTTGGTGAGGTGGTGATCGTATCCTTTAATCACCGTGCTCACGATGCGTTGGCGTGATAAAACGCCATCTAACTTTCGCTCGAGCGCGCGGATGCGGAGCTGGAGGGATCCGTTGGCCTCCACCGAAGGGCTCGAACAGGTGGAGTCGGTGGTTTGCGGCGACAGGGGGTGGCTGCCACGCCGCGTGGGGTGGCTGCCCCCTGTCGACGCTTTTAAGGTGCGTATATTATGCAGCAGCCGGTTCGTTTTGCGCACCGCGAGGTTAATTCGCAGCTGCAGATGCTCGCATTCGGCCTCGGTAACGGAGCTGGCGCCGTTCATCGAGGTGTAGCCGGAGCCTTTTTCCCGATTGCGCCTCTCAGCCGCGGCGATGATGTTGCGCAGAACGGCGTTGCTGTTGTAATACTGCCGGATATTCCGACGATAGTTCGCCACCTCGCGGTCGTATTCATCGCTAAGCAAGGCTTGCTGTATGAGGATCTCATGCAGCTGTTTTTCTAACCCCTCGGACTCCTCATCGAGGGCGGCAGGGGGCTTGCCTTTGCGGAAGGGCGCCGCTTTGGAAGGGCTGCTTTCCAAGAATTTCCCCCCGTCCGCATTTTCGGGCCGCCTCATCATCGAGGAATCCGCAAACGCCGAGCCCGGCCGCGAGGCCTCACCACTAGGCGGTGGTTTTCTGGAATAACGCCCGTCCACCGCAACACTCTCTGGCCGCCTCATTTCCCCGATCTGAATGAGAACACAATTTGTATAATAGGATCTCGAGCAAGGCTATGGCTGGTTCCGATGTGGAGGTACACAGTACTAAGAAACAATTGTTTTTTCTGAGTTGAGAATAATTCTTAAACGAATAAATCACAAAAAAAAAAGTGTATAGTTCTGAAATATTTTTGTATAATGCTAAATCAATACCATTGTTTTAGCTATACATAGGTGAAAATTAGGAGGTAAACTAGAGGAATTATATGGCATATCCCTCCCCAATAGTAGGATGTATCAACATATTTTTAAAACTTATAGTAAAATTTCAATCCAATTATCTTGCAGCATAGTTTCAACGCATCCATTCAAAACATACAACATCGACGACTATTGGAAACCCCTTCGCGGGCGTTGGGGCTCGCGCCATGGGTCATCTATTCACCCATGCATTTCGCATTCAAAGGTCCGTTCTCATCCACCCTGAACAAACATTTGAGATAAGTATACACATAGGAAATTCATATCGAGCGAAACCCTCAAGAAAAGCTCGAAAACAAATTGAAACAAACCGCAGTCTGAACTCTCTTCATGTGGCGCAACGAGGATTAATAGGAGGGATGCCATCCCCGTTTATTTTTTTTTGAAAACAAACGCACTGCCCAAGGGAATTTCACTACGCTTCCATGACTTGATTGCAATAATTTGAACACGCAAGAACCTTTCACAGCGTGAGGAGGCCCTCCAAGACCCCTTCATAAACAAATCTGCCGGTTTCCACGTCTGGAAAGTTTCGTCATTCCTAAAAAGTATGCCCTACATACGGATAGAAATCACAACACCACTCAGACGCTCATTGCGTTTCCCCTTCCATTGCTTTGGGAGGATAGGGAGTGAACAGGATACCTCACGAGAAGAATTACAGCACTGAATCAAAGTAGCCACGACTTCTTTCATCTTCCCCACCCTTCCCGACTAACAGAACTTATGTGCCATCGATAATGTGCGTTTTCCACCGTGCATCGCTACTCCCTATTTCTGAAATCTACTATGTCGACGTGAGAAGTTCTCACCCAAGCCACTAGAAGGAAAAAACATCGACAAAAGGGGAGGGAAACAGGTTAAAAAGTGCAGAAGGATTTTGCTCTGCTGGCGCAGATGCTCAAAAAGCGTTTTAAGCTTTTCCATGAGGGTACCCTCGGTATTTTAAACTTCTCTATGCAAGCACATAGATGTTTTAGATGTGTTCTTTAAATATTAATTAGCCGCGTTACGCTTTATTAACAATCCAAAAAATTTCCCCCCTCCTTCTAACAAGAATGATACGGACGAGGTCTCACACGACTCTATTAGCAAATCATCAGCACGTGAATAATAAAAAAGAGCTCCATCAACTGCACAAAGTGAACCTAAAGTGGCAAAGACGACTCCCTGTCGATTCACTTTGATTTCTTCAAGGGTTTCGTGGGCTTTGTGGGTTTGCTCATTTTTTTCGTTGCCTTACTCTTTTCCACGGTGCCCTTTTTCTCCGCGACGCTTTCACGACGTTGGCGTTTGTCGTTCGCGGGCGCGTCATTCGTCTTCGCGGCTTCCTCCACCTTTGGGGGCGATGCGAGTGGGGGATCCGATCGCGTTGTCTTTTTAGCTTCCAACGAGGAAGCTTTCCCTGCCGTTACCTCGATTTCCGCGTTTTCCTCCGCGGCCGCGACGGTGGGTTTGCCCAACTTCATCCCACGCGGTTTCTTCGCGTGATCGATCTGATCTGCCGGGATATTTGCGAGCTGTGAGGTGAAAAAATCCGTCGTGTAGTCGATCCCGAGGCTTTTCAAATACGCGTTATTCTGCGCTTCCGTCCGGGCGGCCTTAATCAACAGCGCCACGGGATCCTTCCGCGAGACGTTATGGCGTTTAAGCGGGGCACCTTTGGTTTTATACGCGTACGCGAGCTGCCGGCGCTTCGCCACGCTCTCCCGCGAGGGCATCGCGCGATGCAGGATCACCGTTTTCGCGCGAACGGTCCGCCCCCCAAGCAGCATTCCATGGCATTCCTCCACGACCGTGGGGAGGACCGATTCGCGGTCGAACTGCACGTACGCGATGCCTTTCGATTGATGCGTTCGACGGCTGCGCACGCAAAAGCAGTTCAGCACGCTCGCGCCGAATTGGCCGAGAAATTTAAACAACTGCGGCTCCTGAAACTCCGGCGGGAGAAAGCGAAGCTGCAGGACGGCGTACGCCAGCCGTTCCCCGGTGCGGCGAGCCCGCTGGAAGGGGTTTTCCTCTTTGTCGTTTTCACCCCCGTCGCTGCCGGCGAGGCTCGCGAGCTCACTAAGATCCTCCTCGTCCTCCTCGCCTTTCGCGTTGAGATCGTCCTCGCTACCGCTGCTATCCACCAACGAACGCACCTCCTCCTCCTCCTCATTATCGTCGTCGGCTTCGTTTTCGTTCGCGTTGGGGTGGTTCGCGAGGTGGGGTTGGTCGTCCTCGGCGCGCGCTCGGCGTCGTTTCCCCTCCCCGGTGGGCTCCACCTTTCGCGGTCGCTTCGATTGGCCTCCTTCCTTCGAGTTTTTCGCGGGGGCGGGGGTTGGGGTGCGTTGGATTTTCTTCGACGCGAGGCTCGCATCGGCCTTGACGAGCCCTTCGTCGTCGAATTTCACGCGTTTGAGGGGTTTCCTCGCGCTTGAGGGGGGCTGCTTTTCCTTTTGAGAATCGCCCGACGGGCGGCTGGTGGAGGTGGTTTCCACCACCCCCTCTATCGACGAGGACGTCGTTGCGCTCCGCTTCTTCGCGGAGGGGCCGGACCCACCGGATTTGGAGATCTTCACCACCATTTCTCTTCCTTTTCGTTTAAATTATTCTTTTTAGTAGTATTATTCGTGTTTCACCTTAAGATCTGGTGAAATTTTTATAATTATGGGACTCCTTGCAAGATTGAATAAATAAATAAAAAGTTGAATTTTTTGATATTTGTTCACCCTTTGAGGACCCTTTTCCGTCTGGACTGTATCGCCGTGGGACTATTCGTTCGAGATATCGAGAAGGAAAGAAAGAAAGAAAGAAAGAAAAAGAAACATGCTCGCAAGGATTTCATCGCCCGAGTGATCAGGAACAGAAATTTGAACCGAAGGTCTCACGACAGAAACCAACGCTGAAGATGAGTTTGGATGTCGGTGTAGACAGCTATGAACAAAGAGAAAGAAATTTCCCAATTTAGTTTACATGCCCCCCCCCCCTCCTCTTTCCTCCTCTTCCTCGTCTAAGCCACAAACCCACAGGGAAAATAAGGAAGGAATGGATAAAATACAGGAAAACATCAATAGTGATAATAAAAGAATTTGGCGATGCCGAAATCCCCTTCGCGGCGTTTTTTTTTCTTCCTCCTCCTGTTTGTTTCTTTGCGTGTTCGCCGGCGGTTTTAGTATCGTCCTTTTTTTTCATCCGGATCGGGGGAATGGAAGGTTTCCTGAAACCACACCAACGCGGCCTGCATCGTCTCCGCAGGCGTCGTGGTCGTGGCCGAGGGCGATGACGCGAGATTCCCCCCCTGCCGCGCAAATCGCTTCATCTCGGATGCCGGTGTGAGAAAAGGGGCGAGATCGATAAACCACCGCCGAATCACGCGATGCGCCATCGCCGCGAGCTCGAAGGTCCGCATGACCTCCTCGGAGGCCTGCTCGGCCGCGGCCTCGCGCAGCATCCCGCGCAAAATGCGATTCGCCCGCTGCTTTTGAAGCATCCGCTCCTCGGCGATCACCCGGAGGAGATCCCGCGCG